GCTTGGTTCTCGACCGCCAGATCAAAGACGCCGACACGGAGTTGTGGAACTGTATTGTATAAGCTGTGATATAACATTAACCCTTCCTAAACTGACCTTTATTAAACGGTTTGAACTAAATTTTTCAGCTGATAACATACAATAAAACTATAATATCTAAAATTAATGGTTAAAAATATATTTATAACAATGACCAGATTTCCTGGTTTTACATTTTTTTATTAAATTATTTTGTGGTTGTAGGAAAAATATTGTACATAACCTGTGTAAAAGTTATATAATTCAATTGTACAATGGGGCATGTTCAAAAATTTTGAAATTTTTTTTATGAATAATAGAGTTGAAAATAAAATTACATTTTTTTTATTTTTTTTTTATCTATTCATTTGCCGGAGTTATGAATTTTTTTAAAATTTATGACGTCACCGGGAATAGACCAATAGGAGCTAGCGCACAACGTTGCCGGCTAGAAGGTTTACGAGAAGTGATGTACGTTCGTTTGTGTACTCCTTCTTACTTTTAGACTTCTAAAACATCGTTAAACAAATATCTTTTAAATATATAATATCAAATGTTTTTTGAAAGTATTATTTCTGTTTAAACTTTTACCATATTTAAAGTTTCATTGTTTTAAAAGTCACTTAATAATTCAGAAAATGGCAAAATGGCAGCACTGTGTATGGCATCTGTCATCATAGTGTCTCCATCAAGAATTTATTTGGAATTTGATTGTTTAATTTTGTACTTTTTATAAATATTATGACTACGAAAAAGTGTTTTGTTCCAGAATGTGATATTGATTCACATTCATCTTCAAAAATATTTATTAGTGTTCCTAGAAATTTGGAAAGAAGAAAATCAACCTTCTACTAGCGATGTTTCTCGTGAACTTTTTAATAAAAATACACCGGATTATCAAGATGTAGCAGCAATTTCTGCTAATTGTCCTCTTCAGGAAATTGAAAATGAGGCTACTATAAATTCTTAGGTGTATAACCTAAAAACCCTTCTGGAAGAAAATGCAGAATCTCCTGAAAGTTTTGAAGATACCGAATTTATTCATCATTTTGTGGAAGAACTAGTGATAAAGAAATAATGGAAAAATGTGGGTATTTAAACAAACTGGTTCCTGGATCCCATATAATGGCAGATAGGGGTTTCAGAATAATCAGCTACTTGCAAACATGAGATGCACTTTAGTAAAGCCACACCTAGTGTATCACAAAATGAAAAAACTTCTCCAGAAGATGTACAATTAAGTAAAAGAATAGCATCTCTAAGAATACATGTGGAAAGAGTTATAAGAAGGGTTCGTTAATTTAACATGTTAAAACCACATTCGTGTGTGAATTTTAAGCAAGTACATTTACTTAGTAATATCTGCATAATTGCTTGTTAACTTACAAGAACCTATTTTGTAAGAGTAAATATTAATTTAATAAACTTTTTTGTTTGTTTTTCAATTTAATTTACCTAATTATCACATTTCAGGGATTATAATGAGTTTTTAAACAGCCAATGTAATTTTTTATAAAATTTTAATTTTTTGAGCAAATCAAAGAGGAATGAGTACCTGTATATGCATAGATTTTTTTGGGACTAAAACTACCAAAACAAAGGCACCTACTTACAGCAGTTTAAAATGAAACATTTTAACAAAAACGCCTATGTCACAGTGATAAATATTAAAAACCAAGTTCAGTTGAATGTGGTAGCAAAGTCTATATATTCCAATAAATCGGGTAACTACATGTGGTATCACTGGTGATAAATTTAAAAATATCACAATTCTTGCCACCTTTTTCAAAAAACCAGAAAGTGTGCCTTCTTATGAAAATGACAACAGTGATAAATGTGAAAAAAAAATTTCATGTTGCTATTCGTTATTACGATAGTAAAACATGTTTGCAGTTCTGTTTATTTTTTATGAAAATCTAAGTAAAAACAACCAATGTCAAAGGGTTTTAATTTTTTTTCTGTTAAACCAAATATATCACAAAATTAAAAATTGGTGATTTTTAATAAAAATCTGTGAAAATTTTATTTATTAACCTTTTAATAAAAAATGAGAAAAATGAAGTAAAAAAACAATTTATTTACAAATAAAAAATATATAGAAATCCTAAGAATATAAAAGTACTGATTTATTTTCCTGTAGTGGATGAAGAGGTTTCTTTAACAATCTAGCCAAGTGTACATCATTATCAATAACACTGAGTAGATGTTACAGATGGTTCCTCACTTCTTCGATGAAGCCACATGTTTACAACCTCCTGAAAAAAATAAAAGGGTTAGATATGCAGTTACAAAATAACTATATAACCAGCTACAAAATGCCTTATTTTATGTAACAAGACGAGCACTTTACTAGCTCTGAACGAATCCAGTAAAGAACCTCTGATTTTCAAAACTTAAAAAAAAACAAGCTCACCACATTTTCACATTTTTGAAATATTATAGAGCTTTTCGAAAAAAACTGCTATTTTTAAAAGTACCATTTTTGTTTAAACAGCTATGTCTCATTTTAGGCTATTGAGTATTATAAAATAAAAAATTACGGGATGCTTTGTTAGCTTCAAACGAATCCAGCAGAGCACCCCAGTTTTTTTTTAAACCACACCACATTTTTTGGCTCCTACAATATTATAAAATATTCGAAATTTGGCATTTTTAAAAAAATTCGCAATTCCTTGCTGACTTCAAAGTTTTTTTTCTGAAAACAAATATACTTACCACATTTTTAGGATTTTAAAACAGCCTAAACATGTGTCATAAGTAGTTGTTTTTATATATTAAAAAACTGAAGTGTCCTGCTGACTTTGTTCCAACAAAGCACCCTGTATTATTTAAAAATAGCAATTTTTTTAGTAAAGTTTTACAATATTTCAAGAGTCTAAAAATGGGGTGTGGTTTTTAGAAAAAAAGCTTTAAAAAACCGAATTGCTCTGCTGGCTTCTTTCGAAGGTTAGCAAGCACCATGTATTTTTTAAAAATATAATATTTCAAGTGCATAAATATATGGTGTTGCTGTTTTTACAGAAAAAACTTTATAAAACAAAGGTGCTTTGCTGACTTCGTTCGAAGCTATCAGAGCATTTTAAGTTTTGCATAAAACGAGGAGCATAAAATTTTTGAAAAGGGTATAAAAATAGCCTAAAAATATGGCATGTTTTGACTCAAAATTTCATAGGTGCTCTGCAGCATTCTTTGGTATCATAATTATTACTAGGTTCACTAACAAAATCTATTTCTAGATTATTTTAACACTTGCTGCGATTACAAAAAATGTCTCTTTATGTCAAAATTAGAAAAAAAATATTTATAGGAATAAAGGGCCTTATACACTGTTTATTATATGTGATATAAAAACAAAAAAGCATAATAAATATTACAAACCTTGAGATTCAACATATCCTAAGCATTGTACACTAAAAATTTCATTTTTGTTAAATACAACAGCCACATCATAAGGTTTTTGCTGTACTTTATGTTTAGGTGTAATTTGTCTCCTTCTCTCTTATGGAAAAAGTAAATATCTCCATATTCTTGCTTGGCAGATCTAAAAATAAAACCTGAGATAAATATGTTTTACTATAAAGTGTATTGCTTCATATAAACTGTAACTACCTACCATTAAAACAATTTATAAATAAAGTTTTACCTTTCTATCTTTTATAAACTGAGTATTGTTAAAAAATGCAGTAATCATCTCGGTAATCATATTTTCGTTTACAATGGGAAAAATACTTGATTCAACTTTTATAAATACAGCTGATAAATTCATATTCTTCTTCCTTTATATATCCTATATCCCACAGGATAATTTACCCAGATAAATTCAGATTAATAATAAAATTAAACCAAAACAAAAAACTAAGGTTAGTTGTTAGGTGCTGTCAATTTTTAATTTCACTTAGATGTGCGTTCACTTCGACATTCTGTATGTAGGTTTGTTCGTTGGCTTGGTTTTGTATAACAAAAAAAACTTCCGACACAAGCTGATTGGTCTATTCCCGATGACGTATAATTTCAAATTTTAAATTTCAATTGGGCTTAATTTAAAAACTTTTAGCTTTTTTAACGAACTGATTATTTAGAATAACTTGTATAGCGACTAACTATTATAATATAGTTTATAAAACAGCATATCTCACATGTGAACATGGCCCATTACTTGATATTTGTTGAGTGAAATTAAGTCAGAAAATTGGATCATCTACTTAATCAGATAAAACACAGCTTTGCGTGTTAGTACCTATCCGATTCAAAAACTATGTGATTTTGTGCGATTTTTAAAAATATTTAAAAACATAGCACTTTTTTAGATATTATTTAATATTTATTTCTTATATCATGTAAGAATTTTATTTTATTAAAATAGTAAGTATTTATTAATATTTCTGAGCTACCGACACCATTTTTCAAATTTAAGTCAATCTTACCCGGTTTTACCTTGTTTGATTTATGACTGGTTTTAATTTCCATTAATAATGAATTAATAGATACAAAATTCTTTTTGATTCATAAATGACATTTAAATTTATAGCTTTCTTTTCCCAGATCATGCGGCCTAAGGGCTTAGTTTGTTAATTGATAATCACAACTGGTTTCTCTGTAATTATCGAGTACCTACTTGGTTTGTCACAGGTTATTAAATTAAAAAAAAAAATCGATAATAATTTTGCATTCCTTTTAAAATATGCAAATTTAAGGTGTCAAAATACACTTAAAAAATAATAAGTCTGGCTTGATTATTACCACATTAAAAATAATAACGAAATCGTAAATGTCAAGTTACAGCCAAATATAATCATCAGCCACCCAAATCTGGCTGAAAACCATAAAATTTATATATTCTTAATCTTTAAAAATTATCACCATTTTATCCAGCCAATTAGGTTTATTTTGTAAAATGCAAAAGCAAAAAAATTGAAAATAATTTTTCGTATCTGGATAAATTATATTAATGGGTCAGGTATTATTTTTAGTTTATTTTTGTGATGCTCGGTGGCAAAGTGACACCTCCGCCTATTCTCACTCGTGGGATGTCCTTGTATCTAAGAGCCTACTTCAAAGATAAGACTATTAAGAATATTTACGATATCGTTAAAAGCACTACCTGCTCAGCTATTAGATTTGTCGTGGTTCAGGTGTTTCCGAAAGACGGTAAAATTATTCAGATTTATCTTCGGTTTTACTTTATACTTAACATGCACTAACATCTTTGAAATCAAAGGTTGAATTATTGTATTTCTTCTCGGTCTAGACTATTTTTAATTTTGTATTATGTATATTTTTGTATAAACAATAATTTGAGTACCTATATCTAATTAATTTTTATTTCTTTGCATTATGATTTGAATAAAATTATTGAAAAACAAACCATTTTGCTTTTAGTTATAGTCTATTTTAATGTATGAGAGAGTAATAAAACAGCATTTCTAATGCAAAACTTAGTACGGTCATTTTAAATATTTTTACAGAATATTTCCTAAAATTGTAATAAATGTACCTGAGCTATTACAAGTTTTGGGTCTTTTATTGGTCCTTTATAAACATAAGCTGTACAGAACAATAGAAAAAGGTTTGGACTGGCCAGAAGCCCTGTGTATTAAAGATTACATAGCCGTATCTTAAGATTATTTTCAATAAGTACCTATTTGCCAATTTTGTTTTACGCTTCGTACATTTGGCAAACTTGAAGTGTCGCGCGACATTTACAGTAATAACCATTCGAGGGAACAATCAGCGTTGCCAGACCTACTATTTTCACGTAGATCTACTGTTTTTGTCTCTAGCAAATTTTGTTCTTAATTTATTAAGTTTGCCTCATTCTTCAGCAAATGGGTAAAGAATATTTTCTATAGTAAATTTTCTGCAGTAAAAGCAGCGTAATAAGCTTCCACTACTGTAGGTTGGCTCCATAAAAAAAAAACATCAAGATAATAATTGTTTTTATTTAAAATGAAACAAAGAATTAATAGGGCATTATAAAAAGAACATGCATATGCCAAACACTGCGATTTTGAATTATCTAATTCAGACTGATCTAAAAGAAGTAGGTACTTATTATTTTTCATTGGTTTTTTCCCGTACGTTAAGTATATATTAAAAATGTTTTTATTCTTTGTTTACTTTCTAATTTGGGTAGAAAAAAGTTTATTTTTCGTTTCTTATATACTTGTTTTTTTTTATTTAATACACTGCAAATTATAATTATTTTCCCCTTTATTAAAATCTACTGTTCAGATCTACGGTTTTTTTTTACCCATACTGTTTTAAAATCTGGCAACGCTGCATAGATCGAAAGAAATTTCCGACCGAATAACCCCCAAAAAAAAGCGATGCCGAGGACAGTGACCTCGAGTGCGATACGCAGCAAAGCTTTTCACCGAGAAGTGTCTCCACGACACTTCTCGGTCGTGTCGCGCCTGCGAAATGTGTTTAATATATAATTGTATGTATTTTAGATGTGAAGCGACACTTCTCGGTCGTGTCGGCGGTCGTATGTCGCGTCGGCGGTCGTCTGTCGCGTCTACCGAAATGGTACCTTTACTTGTATATTATGTAAAAACTACTAAAAATTATTTATTTTTTAGTTCTTTATTTTAAACGCTTTGATCAGTTGACTTTAATAATTATGTATAGATATTTAATAAATTGAAATATAATTTCAAATATTATTTTATTAAAAATTTATACAAAAAATATACCTGTAGGAAAACCAAAAAATTCAAAAACCTTCACTATAAATCAGTTTAAAAAATATTTTGGCAAACGACAAAATAATCACAATAATAAACAAGTTGAACAAACGTGTAAAAACTAGTTACCTTCCCAACAAATTTCACCGAAAATGTGATTATAGGTTTTCCATTTAGTAAGGAGGTCCAAGTTGTGTATTCTTGACAGTTTACTAAATGGCGTTTAGTTGCAACTTGCAAGGTGCAGTGTAAATTCTAGTGTGATCATGGAAAATTTGGAAGGGCCGCGTAAACGACAAAAAATCGGTCCTTTAACAGTTAATGAAAAAACATTAATATTTAATTGTTTTAAATCATTTACAGACAAACATTTATGTAAAAGTGTTGATGACACAGTGGAATTAGTTAGTAGCACGCTTGGTGTTGGGAAATCTACGATTTACAGAGTTGTTAAAGAAGAGAAATGTGGCGAGTTTCAAACAGCACGTAAAGCTCCAGGAAAACCAAAATTTCAATTAGAAAATCTTTTGAAAGAAAGACTTCGAAGAAATGCATACGTTCTTCTTTAGAAAAGAATTTCCGACAGTAGACAAAGTTCTTGCCACGGTTCGAGATGATAAGGATTACCCTGAAATGAGTCGAAGCACACTATGGAAACTTTTAAAAGAAATAGGTTTTCTATGGAAAAAGCATTCCAGAAAGTCTATTTTAATAGAAAGAAGCGATATTGTAGTATGGAGAAGAAATTACCTAAGGACTATAAAAGAAATGAGAAACCAAAGAAGAAATATATTTTATTTAGATGAAACATGGATCAACGAGGGACATAAACCAAATAAATTTTGGCAAGATGAAACTGTTACAAGTCGAAGACAGGCTTTTTTTAAATAATTTATCTACTGGTTTAAATCCACCATCAGGAAAGGGACGCAGACCAAAGGTGGTTTATTGACTTTTGAATCTACTCGTACCGGTGACTACAATGAGGACATGAATGTTGATGTCTTTAAAGAGTGGTTCGAACAAATTATAGATCCTCTTCCTCAGAACTGTATAATAGTAATGGATAATGCAAATTATCACTCGAGACTTATAGAAAAAATGCCCACAACCAAATGGTTAAAAAAAGATTTACAGAATTGTTCCATCCCGGTTCTGTGAGAAAAGAACTGTATCATTTGTGTTCCCTTCATAAAGAGAAATTCAAAAAATATGAAATTGATGAAATTGCAAAAAATTGTGGGATGACCGTGGTTAGATCACCACCATATCATTGCGAAGTAAACCCGATTGAACTGATATGGGCACAGAAAAAGGGAGAAGTTTTAAGAAAAAATAATTCTTTTAAAATGAGTTGATGTTAAACAGTTGTTTTTGGAGGCTGTAAATAATGTGAAGCCTGAAAACTGGGAAAAGGCAGTAAATCATACGATTAAAGAAGAAGAGAAAATGTAAAAGTTGGACAATATTACTGATGAAATGATCGAGCCACTCATTGTAAATATTGGTTGCGACAGTTCATCTTCTGATTTGGATTTGTAGGTAAGAAGTAGTTTTTATATTAAAATTATTATTTATGAACGTAACGTTGTTTAAAAGTCAAAGTTTAAACCCTTATACCTACATAACCCGTTTGACACAATGTTTTTAACATACCTTGTGGAAAAATAAAACATTTTAGAAAAAATTGAACTTTTTTACCTTCAGCTGTTTAGAAGTTATAAGCAGGTTAATTAGGTGAAAATATAAGTGTATACTCGAGGAATAACTTCAAAAAATATTTTAACTGTCTACTAAAAGAAGTGATACGCCTATGGATTACGAACGCTTTATTATTTTAATACTCTCTCATACATAAAAATAGACTATAGTAAAATCATAAATTATTTTTAAAACAGTTATTTTAGCTTAATAATCTTTAAATTACATTTTTAAATTTGTTCATCTTTGTTACTGGGTCGTAGAAAAAATATACTTTACATCTATAAATAATTGCATCTACTTTTTCTACTCCAATTTCAAAAACTGTCAATAAACTGCTCATCCACTGTATTGGTAAGTCAATTAAGTTTATAATAACTTTAGTATATAAATAAAATCAAACTACTCTTCACTAAATTGTATATAATGATGTGAAAAACTTCATCGGTGGGCTCAGCAGATGCAGTATCTATCTCCTGCTGACAAAAACTTGATAAAATAGTTTCTTGAAACATTAAAACACTCAGATTGTCTCATATAAATTCAAAAATTTACTTCAAGAAATGTACTCTGCATGCTTCAATAATTATTATTGATTGGAAATATATATTATTCACAAATTGATTAAAAAGATGTTTTGTAAATTAATTTCCTACTCCATCCCATTTCATTCGTACATATTTGCTCACTTTTTTTAATACTCTACTAATTTTATCGAGGAAATATTAACATTTATAGGTATTTTATGACTGAAGTTGTAATTTTAATTAGGTATCTATTGATTTCGCTGGTGTAGGTTTATTTTTAATTAATTACAAAAATATGCAAATTTGATATTAATAAATATTAAAATTATATGATGGTGGGCATATTATATTTTACAGCTGATTAAATAAGATAAATAATTAATGTCTAATTTTAATTGTTTCGTTTTACATATCCTGATCAAATAAAAAAAAGAAGTAATAAATAAATAAGAAGTTGGTATTTTCAGTTACGAGAAATCAAGGATGTAATGAAATAAAAATGCAAATATAAATAGAGCATTGTAAGATTAGCAAATGAGATTAATAATAAATCAATTTCTGTAAATACTACATAAATAATAAACAAATAAATAATTTTGAAAAATTTTCTAAATAATTTTGTGATAATTAAAATAAAGTCAAATAATCAAAATCACCCTGTTACTTTTTAGTGGAAAAATGAACGTCACACTATGTTTACTTTCTCAAAAACAAGCCCGAGAATGCAATATCAGATTTTGTATAGTTCTTGCAGATTTAATGATATGCTGTACAAATGTCAAATTTGGAAAACCCTATATAACTTCATTATTATTATAATTTTTGGTTTTGGAGCTATATTTTCATAAAGATTCAAATAAACCATTGCTAAAATATGTCCGCTATCCCACGCATAATCAACTGCTCTTTTTAGAAAAAAAAAAAACAATAATTCATCTAAACATATTTCGTTAAATTTATATTCTTGTTAATTTCACAACTACTTTGATAAAGATCTCTATACTCAACCAGATCATTTAACCAGAATAATTATGTCTAATATCTTTTGGTCAGATTAACATTAATAAAGTTCTTAAAAGATTAATCCTCATGTCGGCTATAAATGTTGCAACATCGTTTTTATTATATATGTAAATTATTTTGAACTTGTCTACAAAAAATATACGTTGATGAAAGCATAGAAATAGTTTACTTTCGACACATTGATTTTAATATTATTATAAAGTATCAAATGAAAGTTTCAAAAAATAATAATAATAATAATATTTATTTCCAATTGAATTACACTTTTTTTAGGTACACATACGAAAATATATAAAATGAACGGAAATAAATATAAGATCCATAGAAGCCTGTATGGCTAGTGTATGGTTTCTCTAATATATTTCTGTTTTTTTTTATATTGATGTTAACATATTTTTTTTGTCTATTTTATTTTGTATTAAATAACCTAAATAATCATTTGGAACATTTGCGACATTTCATTCCTAATCAAAATTTCAAATTAATCATTAATTTAGACATTATAAATTAAGCATAAATTAAACATTATAAACTAAATATCGTATTTTAAATTAAAAATGAAATATTAAATATCTCAAAGTAAACATTTTAAATTAAACGCTTTAAATTAAATAATTCAAATTAAACACTGTTAATAAAATATTCTAAATCAAAGACTCTAAATTACATATTTTAAATTAAATACAATATAATTGAATATATCACTGTAATAAGAAGTGCAGAAGAATTAAGTGAGGTACGTATTTTATTTTTTATTCGAATTTTATTTTCTTTAATTAAGATACCTTTTTAAATTATATTAATATCGTTTTAAATTAATCAGATTACTTACTTGTTCTCTTGGTAGTTGCAATATCCATTTTTTTAGTTTTATTTTAAATATATTATTTTTAAAATTTTTTAATTTGTTTGGAATATGAGGATATATATGTCTTGCCGTAAAATAAAATGATCTTTGACCTATGGTCTTTTGTGCTTTTGCGGTTTGCGTTATTTGATTTTGTTTATACCGAGTGTCGTGATCATGATTTATTTTTTCTAACAAAAAGGATTCAAAAGAAAGATTCAAAAGAAAGATTCAAAAGAAAGATTCAAAAGAAATATTCAAAAGAAAGATTCAAAAGAAAGATTCAAAAGAAAGATTCAAAATAAAGATTCAAAAGAAAGATTCAAAAGAAAGATTCAAAAGAAAGATTCAAAAGAAAGATTCAAAAGAAAGATTCAAAAGAAAGATTCAATAGAAAGATTCAAAAGAAAGATTCAAAAGAAAGATTCAAAAGCAAGATTCAAAAGAAAGATTCAGAAGAAAGATTTAGAAGAAAGATTCAAAATAAAGATTCAAATGAAAGATTCAAATGAAAGATTCAAAAGAAAGATTCAAAAAGAAAGATTCAAAAGAAAGATTCAAAAGAAATGAGATTCAAAAGAAATAAGATTCAAAAGAAATAAGATTCAAAAGAAATAAGATTCAAAAGAAATAAGATTCAAAAGAAGTAAGATTTAAAAGAAATAAGATTCAAAAGAAATAAGATTCAAAAGAAATAAGATTCAAAAGAAATAAGATTCAAAAGAAATAAGATTCAAAAGAAATAAGATTCAAAAGAAAGATTCAAAAGAAGGATTCAAAAGAAAGATTCAAAAGAAAGATTCAAAAGAAAGATTCAAAAGAAAGATTCAAAAGAATAATTCAAAAGAAAGATTCAAAAGAAAGATTCAAAAGAAAAATTCAAAAGAAAGATTCAAAAGAAAGATTCAAAAGAAAGATTCAAAAGAAAGATTCAAAAGAAAGATTCAAAAGAAAGATTCAAAAGAAAGATTCAAAAGAAAGATTCAAAAGAAAGATTCAAAAGAAAGATTCAAAAGAAAGATTCAAAAGAAAGATTCAAAAGAAAGATTCAAAAGAAAGATTCAAAAGAAAGATTCAAAAGAAAGATTCAAAAGAAAGATTCAAAAGAAAGATTCAAAAGAAAGATTCAAAAGAAAGATTCAAAAGAAAGATTCAAAAGAAAGATTCAAAAGAAAGATTCAAAAGAAAGATTCAAAAGAAAGATTCAAAAGAAAGATTCAAAAGAAAGATTCAAAAGAAAGATTCAAAAGAAAGATTCAAAAGAAAGATTCAAAAGAAAGATTCAAAAGAAAGATTCAAAAGAAAGATTCAAAAGAAAGATTCAAAAGAAAGATTCAAAAGAAAGATTCAAAAGAAAGATTCAAAAGAAAGATTCAAAAGAAAGATTCAAAAGAAAGATTCAAAAGAAAGATTCAAAAGAAAGATTCAAAAGAAAGATTCAAAAGAAAGATTCAAAAGAAAGATTCAAAAGAAAGATTCAAAAGAAAGATTCAAAAGAAAGATTCAAAAGAAAGATTCAAAAGAAAGATTCAAAAGAAAGATTCAAAAGAAAGATTCAAAAGAAAGATTCAAAAGAAAGATTCAAAAGAAAGATTCGAAAGAAAGATTCAAAAGAAAGATTCAAAAGAAAGATTCAAAAGAAAGATTCAAAAGAAAGATTCAAAAGAAAGATTCAAAAGAAAGATTCAAAAGAAAGATTCAAAAGAAAGATTCAAAAGAAAGATTCAAAAGAAAGATTCAAAAGAAAGATTCAAAAGAAAGATTCAAAAGAAAGATTCAAAAGAAAGATTCAAAAGAAAGATTCAAAAGAAAGATTCAAAAGAAAGATTCAAAAGAAAGATTCAAAAGAAAGATTCAAAAGAAAGATTCAAAAGAAAGATTCAAAAGAAAGATTCAAAAGAAAGATTCAAAAGAAAGATTCAAAAGAAAGATTCAAAAGAAAGATTCAAAAGAAAGATTCAAAAGAAAGATTCAAAAGAAAGATTCAAAAGAAAGATTCAAAAGAAAGATTCAGAAGAAAGATTCAAATGAAAGATTCAAATGAAAGATTCAAAAGAAAGATTCAAAAGAAATAATATTCAAAAGAAATAAGATTCAAAAGAAATAAGATTCAAAAGAAATAAGATTCAAAAGAAATAAGATTCAAAAGAAATAAGATTCAAAAGAAATAAGATTCAAAAGAAATAAGATTCAAAAGAAATAAGATTCAAAAGAAATAAGATTCAAAAGAAATAAGATTCAAAAGAAATAAGATTCAAAAGAAATAAGATTCAAAAGAAATAAGATTCAAAAGAAATAAGATTCAAAAGAAATAAGATTCAAAAGAAATAAGATTCAAAAGAAATAAGATTCAAAAGAAATAAGATTCAAAAGAAATAAGATTCAAAAGAAATAAGATTCAAAAGAAATAAGATTCAAAAGAAATAAGATTCAAAAGAAATAAGATTCAAAAGAAATAAGATTCAAAAGAAATAAGATTCAAAAGAAATAAGATTCAAAAGAAATAAGATTCAAAAGAAATAAGATTCAAAAGAAATAAGATTCAAAAGAAATAAGATTCAAAAGAAATAAGATTCAAAAGAAATAAGATTCAAAAGAAATAAGATTCAAAAGAAAGATTCAAAAGAAAGATTCAAAAGAAAGATTCAAAAGAAAGATTCAAAAGAAAGATTTAAAAGAAAGATTTAAAAGAAAGATTCAAAAGAAAGATTCAAAAGATTCAAAAGAAAGATTCAAAAGAAAGATTCAAAAGAAAGATTCAAAAGAAAGATTCAAAAGAAAGATTCAAAAGAAAGATTCAAAAGAAAGATTCAAAAGAAAGATTCAAAAGAAAGATTCAAAAGAAAGATTCAAAAGAAAGATTCAAAAGAAAGATTCAAAAGAAAGATTCAAAAGAAAGATTCAAAAGAAAGATTCAAAAGAAAGATTCAAAAGAAAGATTCAAAAGAAAGATTCAAAAGAAAGATTCAAAAGAAAGATTCAAAAGAAAGATTCAAAAGAAAGATTCAAAAGAAAGATTCAAAAGAAAGATTCAAAAGAAAGATTCAAAAGAAAGATTCAAAAGAAAGATTCAAAAAAAAGATTCAAAAGAAAGATTCAAAAGAAAGATTCAAAAGAAAGATTCAGAAGAAAGATTCAAAAGAAAGATTCAAAAGAAAGATTCAAAAGAAAGATTCAAAAGAAAGATTCAAAAGAAAGATTCAAGAGAAAGATTCAAAAGAAAGATTCAAAAGAAAAATTCAAAAGAAAGATTCAAAAGAAAGATTCAAAAGAAGGTTTTAAACAAAAGGTTCTCTTTTCGTTGTTGGCTTTATATCCGGTCTTGATCTAAAGGTAATATTCTAGTTATCTGGTTAAAGGTATACCAGAGAAGTTTTAGTTTACTAAATAAAAATTTTTATGTCTATGAAGGTCATGTTTTTATTACTGAATTAAGAGGTTTAATTTAATATTTATTTTTATTTTCCAAAAAAGCCACTTGAAGAAATTTTGGAAGACTCTCTCAATAAATTAGGAAGATTTATGATGGGAGTGAACAAATAAAATAGATATTAGACTATTAGATATTAGAATAAAATTAATAAATCGTAGAGGTTCTCAAGATCAGTACGCACAAATTAATTTTTTTAATTAAAAATTACTTATTAACTGGGTAATATTAACACGAAAATAAATCTTTTGCGAAAACCTATATCTATAGCAATAACAAAATTCTGCATGTACTACATCACATCTAAGCTTAGCTAATTAAATCGTTCAGTAAAAGTATAGACTCATAAGTGATTGGCTACCATCATTAGAACATAAATCAAAATTTAAATAACCAAAACGGTACTTATCAGAATTGCCGACACTTCTATTTGTAAATAAACACTTTAATCTATTTGTATATCTTAAAGATTTAGTTGAATATAATCTGATGAATATTTATGTGAAACGAGATTTGATATTGAGACACTAAGTTCGTATTATGTAAATATTCACGGTTAAATTAGGTAAATAAGAATTTTGTAATAGTTCTATGTGCCTATAAATAAAAATATCTTCAGGCTTCCGTGAGAATCTTACAGTCACTTACCTATTACTTTATCAATTAGAGAAAGTGTGTTTAGAAGGTGTTATTATCTATGTTATTTTCGTTTAATGACTAGTGTGTCGCTTGTCTATCACATTTTAGAGGTTGTATTTAATGCAGTTTCTTCTAATAGTTCCCTTGGGGTATACTAATTTTTTTCTATTCAATAAATATTGTTAATTCCTTTACATAACGGGAAACGGTTGGCATATTTTTAACAAAATTATCTACAAGACGTTTTGAATTATGCTTTTGATCCTTAAATAATTGTAAAAAATCTCTGAACATAACGAAAGGGCAATAATAATCAGCGAAATAAGATTGTAAATTTATTCAATTATCTACTATTAGAGTCAGCGAATTAGGATATCGCCGCCACTGGGGTCGACGGATCACGTCTACCCGTTTCAGTGTCCAGGACCAGGAAAAAGTGGGGACTTGACGTTCGACGAGCCGAACGCGATGAAGTGATAGGCCTTATGCCCTTTAAAGACATTCTTTGTTTTGTTCCTTAATTAATTACATTTCAAACATTGTTTACGAGATATTAAATAAAACGTTATAAAACCATGTTAACACGTGTTTTATGAAGTGGCAATACAGGGTGTTATAGTATACAGGGTGATAAATCATTTTAAAACAATAATTTTGAAGTTAATTCTTTTAATTTCTAACACTACCATTGTAGTAACGATGATTTTATTTTTTAGATACCAGATGATTTTCAAAACTGTTCATTTTCTAAATAATACATATTAAGAAGTGGATAGTACCACGCAAATGTCTCCAAAGTTCTTGTTATTCACCACACCGGAGCCAGATCACTGTTTCAGCCAAAAATAGAAAAAATGTCTTCTAAAAAGGTGACTGGCAAAGGAAATAACCTTCTACAAGAGGTGCTATTCATCTCTATTTAATAAAAATACACTGGATCTTCAAGATGCAGCAGCAATTTCATTGTCCCCTTTGGAAACCTAAAAACCCTTCTGTAATATTATCAAAAACTTTCTGTAAGTTTTGAAGATAGTGAAGTTTTGGTAAGCAACAGGGAAACTGCAAGCACTTTCTCGTCTTCACCTATAACAAATCAATCTCCCGAAGCCCGTTACGAAGTCCAACAAGATATAATTACAGCAGATATGCGTCCCGGAGGAGCCGATCATCCACACCTAGTTGGCTTTCTAACAATAACTAGGAAGTAGAGAATCGAAGAAGCCTTCTCTATAGCAACGCAGACATTCTCTCCAAGCGACCCTGTTTAGAATGAGAATGACGGTACAGTAAAGGACTTGGAAAGGTTTAGGGGCAACCACTATCAAGCCAGAGGGCATCGAAGAAGAAATAACCCTTGAAAGCCTGAGAAAAAGGCAGAACAAAGAAAATTACTTGAAGATTGTCTAAGAATGACTCAAAAATAAAGTCACGTCTACTTGGCAAGAGATAGCCAAATACAGTGAAGCTATTAAAGGGTACTGGACTTTGAAATTTGTACATACCTATATTTCAGATTTGACATGAGTAGTTGTATTAAGACGAGTTCTTGACCAAAGTTTATTAACTACGCTGAAAACACGTTGAACAGCATCATTTAAGATATGAATCGATAGAGTGAATAAAATAAGCTTCTTTATATATTTGCCTGATTTGCCTGGGTATTATGTTTCCTACCCTGAATTCCACTCATACTTCCGCAAATGTCATTTTGTTTCTAGATTTCCAAAATCAGACTCTTGATGGAGACAAAAACTCCTGACTTCTTGAAATTATTCCAACACTAGTCTCAGTCTTGGATAGTTGATCCACCATTCCTGAGACTCTTATTGCATCCACTGTTTGATGGATGACTTGCACAATGTCTTTCACCAGTCGTGATTTGATCTCTGGTGAGAGAATTGCCTTTAGAGCTGCTTGACTATCAGAGTATATAGCAATAGTTTTGCCCGATAATTGCAGATTTATTATATGTTAATTTTTACCTGTAAGCATTTAGAACGTTTCAACAATATAAGGGTACAGAACGTTTCAACAATATAAGGGTACAAGCTGTACATATGACTTTTAGCATCTTCCAAGAATTTTCTGTCAAAGCCCGTGACCAATATCTGCTTTTAAGGCACATACTCGGTATATAATTTGTGTAATATACTTTCTAATGCTAATCGGATTTTCCAGATTCCTGGAAGTGTCTGTATTAGTCCAGCTATAATTAATAAAATGTTTCCAATAATTACGTTCTTCAGTAGTGCCGCCTATCTGCTATAGGAAGTGTATTTATGAAATAAAAAATAACACTAAACATTGAGGTTATTATTTCTTCTTGCAACTGAATAATATTAATAGTAGCAAACACTCTACCTACATGTAACTAAATATCTTCGTTAATGGACTTCTCTAAGACGAGAGAAAGTAAAACCTAATGCGAAAATATAAACGACTGATTTGATCAAGAGTAATGATTTCCTTCAACTAACAAAGTAACAAATGCATGTTTCAAAAAACAATTGCTGCAATGATATTCAACTGTATCTACTAGATTATCGAATATTATTTCTCGATATAAATGATCGTTGAGCAAGAATGGAGTGATTCAAATTATTTTTACAATATATTTTATTAGAAGAAGATAATTTCTATTGCTAATTATTTATACTTCTATTAACAAATAAAACTATAGGTATTATTAAAATTTCGTTTAGACTTTTAATCAAAGTTTATTAATTATTATTTCTATATTCCTAGATCTACTTTGTGTTATTCATTAAATATTTTAAATATTCCACAGACCAATGGGTCCTAATCCAATATATCAGCACCTTGGTAATTAAAAAAAAAAAATAACCTATATAATAATAGTTTTCGTCAATAAATCTCTAATTGGATTTCGTGATGCCCCATTAAAATAACTTTCCAAAAGATAAAAGACTAAAAAATATTTTTCAAGGTTAAAATTAACCACAACCTATTTTCAACACGCAAGCTTTTAGTTCCATTCATCAAGATTGATGTATCTATTTTTAGTGGAACAACTTTTTAATCAATATAATTATTATGAATTGGTATTGGAATTTCTGGGAATGAATACCTGTATAACAAAAAAAAACTCTGGGTTCTATTTTTTTGAAAATTTTGTTCTTTGTTTCGAAAGTAAACTACAACAATTGCAATATAACATAGATAGAAGTAATACTAATGGAGATGCCATGGGGCAATTGTTTCCTATAAGATACATGTTATTAAAAATTACCCCACTGGGCGTGGCTTGAATGGTATTCTAAGCAGGGTCGTATTTAGTTCTAATTAAAATTGCCTGTGCAGAATTACAACTTTTAAATAAGTTTCAATATGTCCAATTTGAAGTTAATCGAATTTATTGTGCAAGTGTGATTTCTAAATTATTTGTTGGCCCATTTGCGACTGAATTAGATTAGATAAATGTTGCGAAGACCACACTAGACATGACTTGTTCTATATTCATTATGTCTAGGTTTAGTCAAAAACGTAACTTATAATATATAGGGTGTTCCATCTCAGACGAGCCACCCCGTAAATGTAGTACACAATCGGTCCAGATTAAATTACTCATTTTGTCAAATTTCTCGAATACGGACCATTTCAGGAAATTTTTACATAGGGCAAAAATTATAGATAATAATATTAGAAGTAACTTTTATTTGAACAATTTTTTTCTCCAAACATAAATAACAGATATATTCCATAAAATATATAAACGGCCTCCCATAAAGTACCCCCCCAGATGTTCCGACTTTGTCCAAAATCTAATCATTTCACGTCAGGCCGAAATAAAACTTAAGTTTAAAATTTATTGATTTTTTCTTTATCCGTTTTTGAGTTTTCTTCAAATTTCGAAATTTACACATTTTCTCAAATATCTCGAATACGGTCCATTTTAGAGAAATTATTTATGGGACAAAAATTATAGAGAATTATATTACAAACAACTTTTGTTTGAACAATTTTTATAAAAAAAAATATTTTTTTACATTTTGTCAAATTTCTCGAATACGGACCATTTTAGGAAAATTTTGTATATAACAAAAATTATAGATAATAAAATAAGAAGTAACTTTTATTTAAAAAATTTTCTTCCCCAAACGTAAATAACAGATATATTCCATAAAATATAAAAATGACCACCTATAAAGTACCCCCCCAGATGTTCCGACTCTGCCCAAAATCTAATCAGCTCATTAGACGCTGGAATAAAGCTTAAGTTTGAAATTTGGTGTTTTTCCGTGTATCGGTTCATGAGTTATGCGTTATACAGACACACACACAGACACACACACACAGACAGACAGACATCATCGCGAAAATAGTCAAAACGGATTCAGGGGACCTCAAAACGTAAAAATCCGTCGAAAACTCGAGGTCGAAAAAATCATGATTCCTATACTTTCCTTATATCTGTATACAGATAGGAAAGTAAAAATAGACTATAGTTGATCCCATAACTTTATTATATTGTGCGTAATTTCCAGTTCATATCAGTGTTGCTTCGTTCTAACCGGCATTTATCTGCTTTTTAAATTTTCTCAAATAAATCCAACATGTAATTTTTAATTGAAATTTCATTAGAAATTATAATATACCTGCTTATATAAAACCTATAAAGAATACGTCAATCATGTATCTATTATAGAAATTTAAATAAATAATCGAAGGAATAATAGAGTTTTGCAACTTAATATAATGATATTTCAAAAACCAACAATAGTAGCATATAGACAGGCTAATCAATTTATAGATAATATTAATAATGGGAGTGATTTTTAAAGTCAGAAATAAATCAATAATCATTAGACATGTGTAATGGGCGAGGTAAATATCAAATAATTCACGGCAATTATGTAGTCATATTTTCAAGAAATGTCTACAGGATACAATAATTATATTATAGGATAATTTTATTCGAATGGTGTAAAACCACAAATGACAATTGTATTAAAAGCAAATGGAATATTTTAATTATTATCGTTCTAATGTTTAAATCACTATTTATTTTTTGTTTTTACTTTCCTGTCTTTATACAAATAAGGAAAGTATAGGAATCATGATTTTTACTTTCCTATCTGTATACAGATATAAGGAAAGTATAGGAATCATGATTTTTTTCGACCTCGAGTTTTCGACGGATTTTTACGTTTTGAGGTCCCCTGAATCCGTTTTGACTATTTTCGCGATGATGTCTGTCTGTGTGTGTGTGTGTGTGTGTGTGTGTGTGTGTGTGTGTGTGTGTGTGTGTGTGTGTGTGTGTGTCTGTGTGTGTGTGTGTGTCTGTGTGTGTGTGTGTGTGTGTGTGTGTGTGTGTGTGTGTGTGTGTGTGTGTGTCTGTATAACGCATAACTCATGAACCGATAAACAAAAAAACACCAAATTTTACACTTAAGCTTTGTTTCAGCGTCCAATGAGCTGATTAGATTTTGGGCAGAGTCGGAACATCTGGGGGGTACTTTATAGGTGGTCATTTTTATATTTTATGGAATATATCTGTTATTTACGTTTGGAGAAGAAAATTCTTCAAATAAAAGTTACTTCTAATATAATTATCTATAATTTTTGTTTTATGCAAAATTTTCCTAAAATGGTCCGTATTCGAGAAATTTGAGAAAATGTAAAAAAAATAATTTTTTATAAAAATTGTTCAAATAAAAGTTGTTTGTAATATAATTCTCTATAATTTTTATTCTATACATAATTTCTTTAAAATGGACCGTATTCGAGATATTTGAGAAAATGCGTAAATTTCGAATTTTGAAGAAAACTCAAAAACGGATAAAGAAAAAAACATTAAATTTTAAACTTAAGGTTTATTTCGGCCTGACGTGAAATGATTAGATTTTGGACAAAGTCGGAACATCTGGGGGGGTACTTTATGGGAGGCCGTTTATATATTTTATGGAATATATCTGTTATTTATGTTTGGAGAAGAAAATTGTTCAAATAAAAGTTACTTCTAATATTATTATCTATAATTTTTGCCTTATGTAAAAATTTCCTGAAATGGTCCGTATTCGAGAAATTTGACAAAATGTGCAAAGTTCTGATTTTTATGAAAATTGTTGAAATAAAAGTTGTTTGCGATATCGATCTCTATAATATTTGTTCATACATGATTTTTTTTAAATGGACCGTAATGGAAAAATTGTAGGAAAAGTGCTAAATTTAAATTTTTCAGTATTTTCATTTTCAATGAATATCTATAGAAAAATGTTTCGAGGTAGATGTATGTGGACAATGTATATATATTTAGTTTATCCTCTAAACATTTATAGAGATGCTGCAATAGGTTGTACACAATAAACGGAAAAAGCCTGTAATAACTAGATAGGAAAGTCATGTGTTGGACACATCAGATTTTTATAAATACATTCATGCAACCTTTTTATCTGTACTTTTCAGACTCCGTTCAATCACCACATCTAATTATGAATTTTCTCAATGGTTTGTTAGTTGTTTAATATAAATAAGCTCTACACCGACAGCTCCTAAACTGAAAAAAGAGTAGAAACAGGAGTTTTCGGCTAGAAGCCAAGGGTTGATATCAATAAACCTAGACTCTCGGACCACTATCTTCCAATAACAAATGATATTGGGATCGAGAAAGTTGATGATTTAGGAAATTCGCTATAAAAACTTGAGTAAATAACGATAGGACAGTGGTTACTGCATATATTTCGATTTTCTCTTACTATACGGAAAATAGTCGCACTGCGCAGCTTTCTGAGTTTCTTGTAAATAATATCTCGAAAAGTATTTGAGACATCAATGTCCGGTTTCAATGGAAACCTTTAAAAACAATTTAGATTTTTTGGCATATTATGGTACTTTGTAAAAATTATATTATTTTCTTCATATACCAATATTGCAAGTTATTTGTTATTTCATGTAGACCGCTCTGTATGTGTTTAGTTACTCAGAAAGCTTAATCTTCTCTCCCACTGAAAATGTAGCATTTATAGTATATTTTGTTATTTTTTAAAGAAATTATACCTATTTTAAAATAATAATTATTACATTTCTTAACAGTCACTATACCTATTTATTTAAAATATTTTAATTTGAAAAACGGACAAAAATATACCAAAATAATTAGTTCAATGATTGTTCAGAGTGCTGATCATTTAATGAAACAAAGAAGAGGCAATAGAAGAGGTTGTATGAAGTATAATCTAGAAATATACAGGACTGCTCATTAAAAGAGACGAGGTCTTAAAGTATCCTAGTTCCTGCTAGAATGAAGTCACTTTCTATAAAATTTGCACTAGAAACGACATTTATACTACTATTAATAATAATAATAATTAAAAAAACATCCTTTTATTATGTTTGATAACATTAAAGCAACATAAAAGGTCAAGGACACAAAAAACGTACCTACTTCTCCCATTCTTAAATTTTCCATCGCATCCACTCATAAAAAAATAAATTGTTTTAAAGCCTCTTAATATTGTGTACATATTTAACAATCTCGTTGTTTGCTCAATATTACATCAAGTAAAAGGTAAATATTTAGACAATATTGTAAACAGATTGATAACTATCCCAATTTCTCGGATTTACAATCCTATGCACGAAAGTAAATAAAAATATGACTCGCAAAAATTTTTAAGTTGTTCCAAATTGTTTCAAAATTTTACTACTATATAGATCAGTCTGAAACAAATAGATTATACAAATTACTCTTATCCTCAAGACAATAAAATAAGGTAATCTAGTTAGGATAGATATTAATTTTATACACTGTGTCCCTGTAAATATACAGGAAAAATATACCAAAAAAAGTGGAAAAGAAGAAAAAAACGTTAATTCATGAAACTTTGGTTATAACTTCATATTTATAGAACTAAGAATCTGAAATCTCCCGAAAATTGTAGTTGATGAAATCTAGAAAGAAGGGAAGAAGCAACTGATGAAGATGCTGACTGTTGTAATTATTTTGAAATGACACAACAGTCTGTTGGTGATATATATGTTTAAATCGTACCTATAATACAGAGCGGTTGAGATCTTAACTTGAGATCTAAATACTGCTAATGTCACTCAAAAAATTGATTCGATGATGATGATGATGATAATGCTAACACATCATAATATGCTTCTGCACACAGGCCTATAGGTACTTCTACAAATAATAAAACAAAACAAGAAGATAATGAATAAATAAAGTCTGACTTATCTGTCAAAAGAAAAGGTTTATTACTTATTGCATTAAAAATATAGAAACATGATTAAATCTAAACGAAAACTTTTATTAGACCGATCAAATGTATTAAAATTTTCATTTTAACTACAAATAAGCATTGAAGAAGGAGGTATAGATTAAATTTGTACCTTTTGAACCTGTACTACATTCTGTAATTTAAATTACTGCATTACCTTTTTCTTTAGACCAGTGGTCGCCAACCTGTCGATCGCGAGCTACCGGTAGCTCGCGGAGGCAATTCTGGTAGCTCTCACAACGATTTTAATTTAAAAAATACAAACTGCAAAAATCAGAGAAGCTTCCGAAAAAATCCACAAAACAATCTAATTGTCATAATAATAAACCTAAACAGCGGCAACGTTGCGGTGAGCGATCTGCCGCTGACGCCATCAAGCTAGAATCGGCTAGAACCGACCAGCCGGACCAGCGCGTTAGTGTTCGAGAACGATCAGGATTGCTTTGAACGGGATAAATACGCACGGCGCGGCGACATTGCGCTTAGTTTAAAACTGAACGCGTAACCAACGTCCAGCGGTTGGGTTAGTAGAGAACAACAAAAAATAATATTATAGCAAGCAGTTGTAAGAAGGTAAAGACATACCACTTTCATTCGAAATGGAAAGAACAATACTTTTCTACAGAAGTTAAAGATAAAAATGTGTGTTTGTTGTGTAATACTTCGGTCTCCGTTGCTAAAAAAGGAAATATTGAGAGACATCATAAAACTGTACATTCTAATTTTGAAAAATCATTCCCACTACATTCTGCCGCCAGAAAGGAGAAACTGAAACAGTTAAAAAAAGCAGTTAATTGGACAACAATCAATATTTTTAAGAACAGTCGGCATAAATAAGGCTGCAACTGAAGCATCGTACCGTGTGTCCCAGATAATTGCACAAAAAAAGAAACCTTATGAAGACCGGGAAATGATAAAACAGGCGTTTTTAGAAGCTGCTGATTCGTTATTTGCCAACTTTAGAAATAAAGACGAGATAGTTTCAGCTATAAAATCTATGTAACTTTCTGCTAATACAGTGATGAGACGTGTAGAAGTAATGAGTAATGATATTTTTTTACAGTTAAGAACTGACTTAGATAACTGTGTTTATTTTTCACTTCAACTGGATGAATCAACAGATGTCGTTGACACTGCCCAGTAGGCCGTTTTCGTCAGGATGGTTTTTAGTTATTTTACGAATAAAGAAGATCTTTTGAAATTTATTCCACTGAAAGGACACACTACTGGATAGAAGTTGTTTTCTCATTTAAAAAATATTATTTCTTCCGAGAAAATTCCAATATCAAAAATGGTAGGCTTGACAACCGATGGCGCTCCAGCTATAGTGGGTTGTGATAAGGGTCTGGTGGCGTTATGTCGTAAAGATGAAACTTTTCCGCAATTTCTCTGTTACCACTGCATTATCCAATAGCAAGCATTATGTGAAAAATTCCTAAAACTAAACAACGTTATGAAACTGGTGGTAAAAATAGTGAACCAGATTAGAGCCCAAGCGTTACAAAGAAGATTATTCAAAACCTTGGCCGATGAAGTTGACTGTCAATACGGGGACCTACTCCTTTACTCTGAAGTCCGATGGTTAAGTAGAGGACGGGTGCTGAAATGTTTTAATGATGTCCTATCTGGCATAGTTTTTCAAACAACGCGATGAACCGACTCCGGAACTAGAAAATTCAATCTGGCTTAGATATTTTGGTTTTCTCGTGAACATTACAGAGAAATTAAACGAACTTAATTTGCAGCTTCAGGGGAGAGACAAAGAACTAGCGGAAATGATTTCTGATATAAAAGCATTTATCAAAAAGTTGGAGTTTTGGGAACAAAACCTAATTAACAGCGGTGCCAAGCATTTCCTATTCTTTCAGAAAAAATATCTCAAAATCCATTAGAACCCTATGACAGCAAATATCATGTAGAAATAGTTTCTACCCTGAAGAATAACTTCAAAAATCGTTTTAAGGATTTCAACGAAATGGCTTTAGTAGCGCAGTTTGTTGTTTCACCCTTTATTTTTATTTTATTTTATTTATTTTGTTTGGAACACAAACAGGACATACCCAAAAAAGTGTTCCCAATGCTTCTTACATAATGGGTTTAAACTAAACAACTTTAACCTAATTAATAACAAAATATTATTACACTAGATACGAAATAAATGTGAAATAAGAAATAAGAGAACAGAAAAAATACTAAAGTTATTGCATTATAACAGAAATTCAAAAATTTTACATTAAAAAATATGTCGTAATTTAAGATTTTAAGGTACACTAGACAAAAAGTGTTTTTTTAAGCAATTTTTGAATGCACTTTCGGAAATAGAAAAAATATCAACTTCTAGTACGTTCATTATTGTGTCGAGAGTTTTAATACACCTATGTAAAGGAGAATTTTTAAAGTAATTAGTATTACTTGTATCTGAGTAAAACAAATTATTGCTTCGGGTATTATAAAAAGAAACGTTATAATTAATCATGCTATTAATGGGAATTGAATTTACTAAATTGTTACAAACTTTATATGTAAAAGTAATGTCTGTAATTTTCCTTCTGTTATAAAGTGGAATTAGGTTCATTTTATGTTGCGTAAATGTTAAGTCTTCTGTATGTTGTGAAAGGGTTTTTTTATGAACAAATTTTATAAATTTATATTGTATATTTTCCAAACAGTTAATGTAGACATTATATTGCGGATTCCAAATAACCGAACCATAGCTTAATACGCTATTAACGTATGCCATATAAAGTGAACGAAGAGTGTTTATATTTGTAAAATCAAAAGAAGAACGCATGATAAATCCCAGCATTTTATTTGCCTTATTTGTGACATATTCTATGTGTTGGTTGAATAACATTTTTGAGTCAAAAATTATACCTAAATCCTTAATATCAGATACAGAGTTAATATTTAAGTTATTTAAGTTATACTGAAATTTTATCAGATTAATATTGCGACTAAAGCTTATTTGGAAGCATTTATTCAGGTTTAAAAATAAACTATTATCTTGACAGTATTTATAGAGTCGGTCAAGGTCATTTTGTATTAAGACACAATCAGCGATATTATTTATGGTGTGGTAAATTTTTAAATCGTCAGCATACATAAGAAAACGTGCAGATTTAAAGCAGGTTGATATATCATTCACATAAATATTATACAAGAGGGGTCCAAGATGGGAGCCCTGCGGGACTCCGGAACAGACTTTTGAATAAGACGATAAACAGTTACCGACGGATACAGCTTGGCAACGGTCACTGAGGTAAGATATAGAAACCATTTCAGAAGGTTTCTATCTACACCAACTTCAGATAATTTTTTTAATAAGATACCGTGATCAAGTTTATCGAAAGCTTTGCTGAAATCAGTGTAGATAGAATCCACCTGAAGTCTGTTGTTTAGATTACTCAAAATGTATTCAGAATATATGAAGAGATTCGTGTCTACAGACCGTTGTTTTATAAAACCATGCTGTTCATCGTTGAGTATATTAATAACGTCAAAGAAAAGAAAATCAAAAATTAAAGATTCAAATAATTTTGCAATAATACATAATTTAGATATTGGCCTAAAATTTTCTACTAAGTGTTTGTCACCAGATTTGTGTATAGGGATAACATGAGCAGTTTTCCATATCTCAGGAAAATGCCCCTCACATAGAGATTTATTAAAAATTAAAAATAATGGCCGGGATAAACCAACAACGCAATTTTTTATCAAATTAGTATGAATATTATCAGGGCCTGCTGCTTTATTAGGTAAGTTTTTGATTTTTTCTATGATTCTATGTTCGTCAATGTGATAGTTCTTTATATGATGCCAGTGATGTGTTTTGTCAAATTCATGTAAGGAAATTTTTGAATTAGTAGAGTTAAAAGATGATAAAAAGTAGTTTGCAAAAATATTGCAGACATCTTTGATATCGGTGACTAAATTATTGTTATTTTTAAGAAATGAAATAGTATCAGGATTTTTCCTTTTTGATTTTATAAACTGCCATAACATTTTAGGGTTTTCTGAAATGCTACTCTCACAAGTTTTAATGTATTTTGCATAATCTTGAGAAATGAGGTATTTGGATCGCCCTCGCAATAATTTGAAAGTTAGAAAATCTAATTTATTTTCATACCTTTTCCATAAAGAATGATATTTTTTCTTTTCCTTTAGGACTTTAATTGTTTCAAGAGTATACCATGATGGAAATTTTTTATAAGATTTTGAATTTTTCGGGACATGTTCTTCAATTAGATCATTTAATAGAGAATAGAATATATTTGTACATTGACTGGTATTTAAATTGTTAAATTTTATATCCCAATTTATTGCCAACAAGGCATTATTAATAGATTGATAATTTGCTTTACAAAAGTTATATTGTTTGAATGTGTTACTCTGTGGCATTTTTTTATCTCCTGAAATAGAAATTATGAATTCTAACGTGGTATGTGATCGATCTTCTTTTACTAGTGGAAAATCAGATTTACAAATATTATTTATGTTAAGTTTGTTACTGAGTATTAAATCGAGAACATTTCCTGAAAAATTTTCAAAATTTTGAAATTGCATTAAGTTACTAAAAGACATAGAATTTATAAATAAACTTGAACTTGGATCGTTATAATTATGAGGAACATACATTTTGTTAACTTTATCCAGTGACCATTTAATATTTGGCAAATTAAAGTCTCCAGTAATGACTATTACGTCATTAGGATAATTTGTAAAAATATCACACACTTTCGAACAAAAATTCGTTAGCGCCACTAAATCACCCGGAGGGATATACGCACATCCCATGTGAAATTTCAGATTATTATTAGTTACTGTAACCCACAGGTCCTCTGCATCGGAATACCAGTCTTGACGTGAAACACTTTGGTATTTTTTGTCGACAGCTATCAGGACTCCTCCTCCTTCTGTTTTGACACAAGCTGATTCTTCACGGTCCCGACGATATACAACGTATTTATCACAAAAAAGTTCAGAATCGAAAACAGTTTTATTCAGCCAGGTTTCCGTTAAACAAACGATGTCGTTTTCGCAAATTAATGAGTTTTTGAAAATAGTAGAGATTTTAGATTTGAGACCTCGAACGTTTTGGTAAAAAGTAGAAAACGTTATAGTAGAGTTCATTATTAAAAAAATCAGTAGATATTATAACAATGTAATTAATTTAAATTATTAAGATCCTCTTCAGAAGAGATTTTTAAAATTCGCGAAGTATCGTCTTTTCTTGCAAAAATAGTTCCGTTCCGAACCCAAATGTATTTAATATTTACCTCCTTTGCTTTATTTTTGGATTTCATAAGTAGACTTTTATTCTTTCCTGTGAGATGTTCATTAATAAATAGCTTTTTTGAGACATTATCAATAATCAAACCTGGACCAATAGGGTTATTGTAACTTGAGCGTGTATTTTTAGCAGATGCTAAAATTTCTTCTTTTTTCTGTTTGGATATAAACTTAACTATAATGGGTTTAGGTAGGTTTTTAGATTGTTGGGATTGTTGGAATACTCTATGGACAGAATCGATCATTGATTTTGAAATAGTACATTGGATGTGATCGCCAATTTTTCCTAAGATGTCATATAAATTTTCATTATTTTTTTCAGGAACGCCTTGAATTTCTAAATTGTTTGCTCGAGTGTTTTGCTCGAGCACCTCAACTCTGTCAGAAAGGCTTTGGACAGTTTTTTTAAGTTCTACGTTTTCTTCTGTTATTTTTTGTAGCTGAGAAAGTTTGTCATTGAATTTTTTCATTGTATCCTCAAAATACGAAATTTGGTCACTACAAAAGTTTACTGACGTTAATACCTCATCGTATTTTTTGTTAAGCGATGTTATTTCAGATTGAATGTTCCGGAATGTTATGGAAATTGATATCCAACAGTTTGCAACTTGTGTTATGCAGAACTTTGGCGAAGACATCGCTGCAACAGAAATGGAAGTAATTGAGTTTCAAAATGATTTAACGTTAAAATCGTTAGTCTCAAGTACCAAATGTATCTGGCCTATTGTAAGTAAAGACAAATATTCAGTTCTATGCCGTATTGCCTTGAAAGTGAAAGCATTATTCAGTTCAACCTATTTGTGTGAATCTTCTTTTTCCAATATGAAGTTTATTGAGAACAAATATCGCAATCGACTTACAGATGAACATTTGGATAATTGTATTCGAATGGCTGTATCAAATTATACTGCAAACATTAAAAAAATTATCGATGAGTCTGAGTGTCAGCCTTCTCATTGAACGTGCTTTTTTATTTTTTAATGTTTATGTTCATGATAGTGCGTTACTTTTTTGTTGTTATTATTAACTATTTTTAAATCTTACGTGACATGCCGTTGTGGCTGGATAAAAGTTTATGTTTATTTTTCAAACACCTTCGTTTGGTAGGTAGGAATGTAGCTATGAACAAGTACGTACTAGTAATATTAGTTATTTTGTTATTAGTTTATTATTAGTACCTATGTATTATGTATTACCAGTTAAATAGTAAAATAAATACATATAATGATAAATTAAGTGTGGATTATTTCATTTACGTTGCGTTTCGTGGCTTCCGTGTGGGTAGCTCGCTGTTTATTCCAAAATTAACAAAGTAGCTCAACACATTGAGAGGTTGGCGACCACTGCTTTAGACCATAACAATAAACACAATTATAAAGTTGTTGTTGAAATGCAAAATAAATGAAAACATTTTTAACCATTTTTTTAATCTATGCTATTAACATGATGTACTGAATGCTCTAATTTATTTCAAAAATTTGTTGTGATGACTTTTAACATTCTAATTTAATTTTGTAAGTTTTTAATATAATATTACCTGTATACTTTTTTTAATATTATCCTTATAGGAACAAACAAATGTGTGTTAAATACATTATTTAGTGCCGATGACTTCTAAGTGAACATATTCTTGAATTGCATCTATTACACCAAACCAACTTATTTTGTAATTCCTGGATCTTAGCATCTATAGTTTCCAATTGTTGTAATTGACAACAAAGAAGCGAAGCTAGTTCCTCAAAGTGATGGTGCAAACCGATATCTCGTACACAGTAATTTAATTCTAACAAAAACAAAGTTTGCTGTACATTCAGAAGAATATTATTTATTTCTTCAACATTGTCATAAATTTGTTTTCTGTTAACATCCTTCGGAACGTTGGGAGAACAAGAACATTTTTCTAATAAAACTATTTTATTTTCAATATCTATCAGCCTGTGATATATGAATAGTATAGTGGCTTCAATTTGGTTTTGTAATCTCTGCAGATTTTGAACTTTCTTGTCGATTGGCACGACACATTCATAACAATTGCAACAGTCTAGTAGAAGTTTGTTCATTTCATCATTTTGTAATTCAAACTGTTTACTGCACTCATCTGTATCAACTGCCCATTGGGAAATTAGAGATTCTAGTTGGGCGAAAGTTAAATTTTGATCTGCAATTTTACTGAAATTTAGTGACATTTTGAAAATGATTTGTCAATGTTCAATTCTTCTTTTAACAGAGTGATAAAGGGATGATAACGAGTATGGACTGTGAAATTAAGATGACGTTCTATACAAGAAGGACAAGAGCAGAGATTAGGGACATAAAGATTTGATATTTTGTCATGAATAGATTTAGAATAATTAATTGATAATAGACTGTAAGTGTAGTATTCTTTTTAATAAATAATTCAGAGTAATTACATTGTTTAAGTTTATTTACAAGAACATGAGAGTGCAGTCGGTATTTATACAACCTTTATTATCAGATTTTTAAATTTCCCGCGACAATATTTGTTTAATATCGATGACAGCGCCACATAGTGGGTCAGATGTTAACTGCATTAAAGCATTGGCTTCTTATGAGTGTTTCCTATCTTTATCTCCCTTATCTCTGGAAAAGAGAAGAACGCCAAAAGTTGTGACAGTTGATAATTCAGATCACACAATCACATCAATGTTGTTTATAGTTATATAGATAGCTTAACTATATGTTAATAAAAGGGTATAATATGCTCGAAGGATATAGACTACAAAACTAAGAACTACATAGTGAAAAGCCATTATGCTATTAATATTTTTAAAAAACCATTTTGAAGGGAAGTCAGCAGAGTGCCTGTTTTTTAAAAATATTTCTGTTAAAACAGCAACACCATATTTTTATACACTTGAAATATTATCAATTAAAAAATATATATATTTTAAAAAAATACATAGTGCTTGCTAACCTTCGAAAGAAGCCAGTAGAGCAATTCGGTTTTTAAAAGCTTTTTTTCTAAAAACCACACCCCATTTTTATGATATTTTTAGACTCTTGAAATATTGTAAAACTTTACTAAAAAAATTGCTATTTTTTAAATAATACAGAGTGCTTTGTTGGAACAAATTTAACAGGACACTTCAGTTTTTTAATTTGTTTTTTTTTATATATATATAAAAACAACTACTTATGACACATGTTTAGGCTATTTTAAAATCCTAAAAATGTGGTAAGTGTATTTGATTTCAGAAAAAAAAAACTTTGAAGTCAGCAAGGAATTACTACTATCAATAAAGGTATTACTCTAGCTTAACCTACGATCAATTTTTAAATTTTGAGTTATATTTGGTTTGAAAGAGAAAAAAATTATAACCCTTTGATATATTGGTTGTTTTTACTTAGATTTTCATAAAAAATAAACAGAACTGCAAACATGTTTTACTATCGTAATAGCGAATAGCAACATTAATTTTTTTTTTTACATTTATCACTGTTATCATTTTCATCAAGGATTGATGCTGGTTTTTTGAAAAAGGTGGCAAGAATTGTGATATTTTTAAATTTATCACTAGTGATACCATATGTAGTATCATATTCAACTGAACTTGGTTGTTTTTAATATTTATCACTGTGACATAGGCTGTTTTTGTTAAAATGTTTCATTTTAAACTGCTATAAATAGGTGCCTTTGGTTTGGTAGTTTTAGTCCCAAAAAATCTATGCATATACAGGTACTCATTTCGCTTTGATTTGCTCGAAAAGTTAAAATTTTATAAAAAATTACATTGGCCGTTTAAAAACCCTTCATTATATTCTCTGAAATGTGATAATTAGGTAAATTAAATTAAAAAACAAATAAAAAAAGTTTATTAAATTAATATTTACTCTTACAAAATAGGTTCTTGTAAGTTAACAATACCACAAACAATTATGCAGATATTACTAAGTAAATGTACTTGCTTAAAATTCACACAGGAATGTGGTTTTAACATGTGAAATTCCCTAATCCTTCTTATAACTCTTTCCACATGTATTCTTAGAGATGCTATTCTTTTACTTAATTGTTCATCTTCTGGAGAACTTTTTTCATTCTGTGATACACTAGGTGGCCTTACTAAAGTGCATCCCATGTTTTCAAGTAATGGATGAATATTCTTAAACCCCCTATCTGCCATTAAATGGGATCCAGGAACCAGTTTGTTTAAATATCTACATTTTTCTATTATTTCATAATCACTAATTCTTCCAGAAAATGATGAATAAATTCGTTATCTTCAAAACTTTCAGGAGATTCTGGATTTTCTTTCAGAAGGGTTTTTAGGTTATATACCTGAGAATTTATAGTAGCCTCATTTTGAATTTCCTGAAGGGGACAATTAGCAGAAATTGCTGCTACATCTTGAATATCCAGTGTATTTTTATTAAAAAGTTCACGAGAAACATCGCTAGTAGAAGGTTTATTTTCTTTTTTTCAAATTTCTAGGAACACTAATAAATATTTTTGAAGATGAATGTGAATCATTATCACATTCTGAAACAAAACACTTTTTCGTAGTCATAATATTTATAAAAAGTACAAAATTAAACACTCAAAGTCGAAATAAATTCTTGATTGAGACACTATGACAGGTGACACATACAGTTCAGCCGTTTCGCCATTTTCTGAATTATTAAGTGACTTTTAAAACAATGAAACTTTAAATATGGTAAAAGTGTATTTAAAATTTATTTGTTTAACGATGTTTTAGAAGTCTAAAAGTAAGAAGGAGTACACAAACGAACGTATATCACTTATCGTAAACTTTCTAACCGGCAACGTTGTGACGCTAGCTCCTATTGGTCTATTCCCGGTGACGTCATAAATTTTAAAAAATCCATTACTCTGGCAAATGAATAGTTAAATGAAAATGTAGCTTTATTTTCAACTCTATTATTCATAAAAAAAATTCAAAATTTTTGAACATGCCCCATTGTAAAAGAAAATTTTTATTTAATCTAATTGTTGCATGTGAGTCATAAATACTAGACCTTACAAGAAGAAGTGCAGATTTAACCTTTATCTATAAGTACATATTTTTTCTTTTAGAAAAAGTCAAAAATAAACTTTAAAAGTGGGGTAATACGAAACCGTTACATGCTCCGCTCACAGCCAAGTAAATACTCCTCTTAATAGGAAAATAAGAGTAGATAATTGGCAATTGGTACGCTTCACTAGACAATTTTGCTAAAGTACTTTATAAGTGGTAAAGATATAAAAAAATGAGCAGTGTATATTTCATCAGTTTAAACATTGTACTCAAAAAATATCAATGTGATAATTATGTTAAAATTGAAAGTTATTAAACTAAAAACACATATAAATTAGTTAATTTACCTGACAGTCAACACAGAAAAAATCCACACCAAAAGTGCAAATCCAGTCGTCCTTTCACGACTAAGGTACATGCTGATTTCTCAGCCAATATTGTTTTTTGTATTCACAAAACATCACTATAGAACACCACAAAAATATTCTGTCATCGATTCACTCAAACCATTTCCGTAAAAACTATTTTCCTAACACACCTCAGCAGTCTGTAATGTTCAACCGAAGAAGACTCGAAAGGCACTTGAAATTTGTTTAAAACGCTATAAACCATTGTTTGAGATGTCATTAACTCTTCTATAAACATAGTCTTAACAGTTTAGAAGACGGCAAATTGAAATATTATGTAGAAGTGACATTTTAATCGTTAATTTTTTAAAAAAGAGATCGTCGTTTGTTTTTCGCGCCGTAGTACCCGCGCGGTACCTAGGATGTGGATGGACCGATACTTGGTCAATGATGCTGTGTTTTGATGTCAGTCTCACCTGCTTACCGTACCTAAGATCTGGGCCAATCAAGGCTCAAGCAGCCCCACTTTTCCCATTAATATATGTTGCTGATAATTGTTACAACTTTGTGATAACGACTGGCTTTCGTAGGTAATGATAATGATAAAGATCTGATTTTGACGTATGACGTGCGGCGTGTTATTGGTTTTTATCGGCAGTTTTTTGTTTGAATCGTGTCGGTTGGTGATAAATTGTTAATAGCTATCTGATTTTGATGCAGGTTGCACAACTCACGTGAGCTGTTATCAGATTGGGAAATGCGTACATTTGATCAGTGGGTGCTTATTAGTTTATAACTTATTATGACTATCTAATTTAGTCAATTAAAATATATTTAATCTAATATTAGGATTATTATAATTAACAACTAATAATACAAAGAAATATAAATGTTGGAAATGAAGTAATAAACCTTATTGCTAATAAAAACTACAAGAGTTATTCAAAATGACCTCCATTTTGTTCGATGCATTTTCTTGTTCATTTTAAAATATGGTTGACGGCTTTTCTGAGTACATCGGGATTATTTTTCATTTCTTCGCAAGCGTATTCTATCCTCCCTACTATTTATGGGAGTGGAATATACTTTTGTTTTTAGATGTCCCCAAACGTGGTAATCCAGCGGATTAAAGTCAGGCGATCTTGAAGGCTAATGTTGAAAGTTTGTCATTAATTAAATCAAAATTTAAGTCCTTACATCTGCTTTCAATTTCAAAAACAGATCGCCTATCACTATTTAATAGCACATTTGTTAAAAGCATAAAATGATCTGAAATTCTTGGTGTTTTGATAATCTCAGCTGAAACCGGGTAATTATTTGTTATAACTAAATCTATTAGTGTACCTCCACCACTTCTATTTGGTCTTGTGCTTTCTGTAAAAATATTTTTCAATTCAGTATCAATCAAAATATCACTTAATTTCGCGCTTTGTTTTCAGTTAACAGGTCAACATTAAAATCTCCAGAAACAATAACTATTTGAGAATTATCACATACATTTTCTTCAGCCCAAGTGCTAAAACAATCTAAAAAATTTATACAGCTACAGGTGACCTACATAGAAATACAATTAAAAAATTTTGTGTGTGTGTGTGTGTGTGTGTGTGTGTGTGTGTGTGTGTGTGTGTGTGTGTGTGTGTGTGTGTGTGTGTGTGTGTGTGTGTGTGTGTGTGTGTGTGTGTGTGTGTGTGTGTGTGTGTGTGTGTGTGTGTGTGTGTGTGTGTGTGTGTGTGTGTGTGTGTGTGTGTGTGTGTGTGTGTGTGTGTGTGTGTGTGTGTGTGTGTGTGTGTGTGTGTGTGTGTGTGTGTGTGTGTGTGTGTGTGTGTGTGTGTGTGTGTGTGTGTGTGTGTGTGTGTGTGTGTGTGTGTGTGTGTGTGTGTGTGTGTGTGTGTGTGTGTGTGTGTGTGTGTGTGTGTGTGTGTGTGTGTGTGTGTGTGTGTGTGTGTGTGTGTGTGTGTGTGTGTGTGTGTGTGTGTGTGTGTGTGTGTGTGTGTGTGTGTGTGTGTGTGTGTGTGTGTGTGTGTGTGTGTGTGTGTGTGTGTGTGTGTGTGTGTGTGTGTGTGTGTGTGTGTGTGTGTGTGTGTGTGTGTGTGTGTGTGTGTGTGTGTGTGTGTGTGTGTGTGTGTGTGTGTGTGTGTGTGTGTGTGTGTGTGTGTGTGTGTGTGTGTGTGTGTGTGTGTGTGTGTGTGTGTGTGTGTGTGTGTGTGTGTGTGTGTGTGTGTGTGTGTGTGTGTGTGTGTGTGTGTGTGTGTGTGTGTGTGTGTGTGTGTGTGTGTGTGTGTGTGTGTGTGTGTGTGTGTGTGTGTGTGTGTGTGTGTGTGTGTGTGTGTGTGTGTGTGTGTGTGTGTGTGTGTGTGTGTGTGTGTGTGTGTGTGTGTGTGTGTGTGTGTGTGTGTGTGTGTGTGTGTGTGTGTGTGTGTGTGTGTGTGTGTGTGTGTGTGTGTGTGTGTGTGTGTGTGTGTGTGTGTGTGTGTGTGTGTGTGTGTGTGTGTGTGTGTGTGTGTGTGTGTGTGTGTGTGTGTGTGTGTGTGTGTGTGTGTGTGTGTGTGTGTGTGTGTGTGTGTGTGTGTGTGTGTGTGTGTGTGTGTGTGTGTGTGTGTGTGTGTGTGTGTGTGTGTCTGTCTGTGTGTGTGTGTCTGTGTGTGTCTGTGTGTGTGTGTGTGTCTGTGTGTGTGTGTGTGTCTGTGTGTGTGTGTGTGTCTGTGTGTGTGTGTGTGTGTGTCTGTGTGTGTGTGTGTCTGTGTGTGTGTGTCTGTGTGTGTCTGTGTGTGTCTGTGTGTGTCTGTGTGTGTCTGTGTGTGTGTCTGTATAACGCATAACTCATGAACCGATACACGGAAAAACACCAAATTTCAAACTTAAGCTTTATTCCAGCGTCTAATGAGCTGATTAGATTTTGGGCAGAGTCGGAACATCTGGGGGGGTACTTTATGGGTGGTCATTTTTATATTTTATGGAATATATCTGTTATTTACGCTTGGGGAAGAAATTTTTTTAAATAAAAGTTACTTCTTATTTTATTATCTATAATTTTTGTTATTTACAAAATTTTCCTAAAATGGTCCGTATTAGAGAAATTTGACAAAATGTAAAAAAATATTTTTTTTTTATAAAAATTGTTCAAACAAAAGTTGTTTGTAATATAATTCTTTATAATTTTTGTCCCATAAATAATTTCTCTAAAATGGACCGTATTCGAGATATTTGAGAAAATGTGTAAATTTCGAAATTTGAAGAAAACTCAAAAACGGATAAAGAAAAAATCAATAAATTTTAAACTTAAGTTTTATTTCGGCCTGACGTGAAATGATTAGATTTTGGACAAAGTCGGAACATCTGGGGGGTACTTTATGGGAGGCCGTTTTTATATTTTATGGAATATATGTTATTTATGTTTAGAGAAGAAAATTGTTCAAATAAAAGTTACTTCTAATATTATTATCTATAATTTTTGTTTTATGTAAAAATTTCCTGAAATGGTCCGTATTCGAGAAATTTGACAAAATGTGCAAAATTCTGATTTTTATGAAAATTGTTGAAATAAAAGTTGTTTGCGATATCGATCTCTATAATATTTGTTCATACATGATTTTTTTTAAATGGACTGTAATGGAAAAATTGTAGGAATAGTGCTAAATTTAAATTTTTCAGTATTTTCATTTTCAATGAATATCTATAGAAAAATGTTTCGCGGTAGATGTATGTGGACAATGTATATATTTAGTTTATCCTCTAAACATTTATAGAGATGCTGCAATAGGTTGTACACAATAAACGGAAAAAGCTTGTAATAACTAGATAGGAAAGTCATGTGTTGGACACATCAGATTTTTTTATTAAATCTTCTTTAAATGCGTTTTTAATGACTAGAGGGTTTTCATTCAGTAGATTTTTGTTTATATATGTTTTCAATGGGGTTGTTAAAGCTGAAAAATGTAAGGATCATAATGGAATTTCATTTTGTTGATGGAGGTCGGGAATCATTTCAAAGATAGTTAAAAAAGTCTCTACTACTAAAGGTAGTTTTTTCGTTGACCAATATTTTCCAGTTAAACACAGAGAAGATAAATTGGATAAGAGAGGAAGAAGAACCGAATTTTTCGACCTTTGATTCATTAAAAACTTTGTTTTTGTCTTACAAATTTTACCGTTTTTTTTATGTTTCATCTTTTTCAAATTTAAATTTGATATTGTTTTATCACGAGAGAAACGAGACGAGAGAAAGGCTCTCTCGTCTCTAGAATTTTTTCAAACACTTTGGATATACAACATAAAACGCTTATGGGTCGTAGATCAGAAAATGACCCAAGAGATGATTACTTGGGAAGAGGAATGACATATATTTCTTCCAAAGGTCAGGAAAACAAACGTTTATTAAGATAAAATTAAATATAATAATATGAGTTATGTAAGGGATAATTAAAGGACAAGAATATTATAATATCTTGATATTAATTTTGTCCACAACTACGGCTTGTGTTTTTATTGATAACATTTGTTTGTAACATTTCTCATCGGATATATGACTGAATGAAAAATTTCCTTCGTTTAGAATTGTCGTGTTTTGATAAAATTGTAGTAGATCATCATCAGGTACTTTATTGGAATTAGTAATGGTAATGAAGTATTTATTAATTTTTTGAACATTGCATAAATTCTCAGGTATATTTTACTGGTTTACTATGTACATCAAGTTTTATATATTTATTTGAATAATTTTTAAAAGGAATTAAAAAAAAAACATATTTACTCGCCATTCTGTATTAAATATTTGACAATTAGTTATTTTTTGTTTCAGTAAATATTTAGTAGTTTTTAAATGTAAATGTAAAAGTCCTGCCATATCGTTGCATAAATTTAAAGCCCTTAATATTCTCGAGATACATAATATGCCAGTTGTTAGTATTCTGCTAATTTGTCGTATGTAGGAACATGTTTATTCAAGAAATCTTTCATCTAAAAACTAGGCTGTTTAATAAACTTTTATATCAGATTCATAAAATCGTTCAGTTATTATAAAAATAAATTACAATAAAAATATTAATTGACATATTCAATGAGTAATAAAAACCATAAATAAATTTAAAATGAATACATTGATCAGCCAGGTGGGTAATGATATTTATATTAAAGATTTGCTGTTATTATACTAATCTTCACGACAACCTGAACTTCTAATACATGAAGATTTATAACCTGGTAATAAATTATTGGTAATAAATTATACATATAATTTATATCTATTTTGTAATTATATAGATATTTTACACAAAATGAGTAAAATGGCAATGTATTACTTTGATTAATATACGAGCACTTCTTTCCCATTAGGTTGATAGATCTATTCAATAATGAGGTTCGATAACAAGGTTTTATGTACACTACTTTGTATTGAAAACTCGTAATCCTATAAGTATTTATGACTATAATTTTCATAAAAGAGCAGAAGAAATG